GTTTCCACTCGGGAAAATTAGGGAGAAAATTAGCGTTTTCAGATTTTTTAATTAATATCTGGGCTGAATAAAGGCGTTCGAAGATGATAATGATCGAAATGGCTTCCCACGGACTTTTAGAATCGGAAATAATCTATTTAATGTTTGGCAATCTTATTTTTATATATCATATTTTGTAAAACTTACAAATTTTTTATCATGTGTGTGAGTGATTATGGCAAATCCTCGAGGGCTATCTGCCTAAGGGGAGGGATGCCTTCGTGGAGGACTTTCTAAGGGAAACTGGCTCGTATACACGTTACACATGGAGAAAACCACGAAAACGCCCATGCAGCCAGCCCGTTCGCGGGATTCGAACCTCGGACCGAACTACCAGTGTTCAGCGACTTTACCGCTCGGCAGCTGGTGGGCCCAAATTTTTTATTAATAAACTACTATTTGAAAGCAAGCAGTGGCACCGCTTTTCAAAATAAAGCAGATTTTTAACTCCACCATGGGACACTGTTGCCACTCATGGAAAAGTGTGTGCAAAAATGAGCGTTTTCAAAGTTTTAATTAATATGTAATTTTAATATATTTAGTTAATCGTTATGAAGATCAGAATGGTTGAAATGGCTTCCCACGAATTTTTGGAATCCCGGGGTACCCGTCCGCAAGTTCAACTTCCCGCCGTTCTGGAGAAGATAATGCCACAAACAAACAGACAGCTCACAGTTCCTAGTTCCGCTGATATGCCGGAATTATCATGCGAACTTGCATGACGTGGTCCGGCTCTCTGAAGTAGTGTCGTTCGACGTCTGGCTATAGCATTTCTTGAGTGACTGCTGTCTTTAATTAGGCGACGCAGTTGCGCGTTCAGGCACATGGGTGAATACCCTATCCTGTATGTAACTTGTCGGTAACGTACATATTATTTGATAGGCTTATCATATAGTGCGGTAAGAAAAGTTCAGATCAAGTAGAAGGTAGCACTTATCATGATGAAGTAGCGAACGGGTCTGTGACACTTAGCCGACTGTACATTTAACCGACACCAGCTAGCCGACACGGATACTTAGCCGATAGGACATTTAGTCGACAGGTCATTTAGCCAACACGGACACGTAGTCGACAAGGACACTTAGCCGACAAGTCATTTAACCGACACGGACACTTAACCAACAAGACACTTAGCCGACACGGACCTTAGCCGACAAGAGACTTAGCCGACAGGAAATTTAGCCGACAGGACATTTAGCACACAGAACATTTGGCAGACACAGAGAGTTAGCCGTCAGGACATTTAGCTACAGGACACTTAACTGTCAAAACGTTTAGTCAACAGGACACTAAGCCGACATTGACGTTCAGCTGGCCACGTATCCAATAATTATTTAAAATTACTATGAATTACAAAATTTCTCGACTTATAAGTTCAATACAGTTATTTTTTCACCTATGAGTAAATTTCATTTTTCGATTCTTAAAGATCTTATATGTGTTTTTAATCATTGGGAGAATTTAGCGCTGTTTGGTGTATATTGGCCAAATTGAAAAAGCGCTGAAATTTCTCGCCAGGGAATACAAATTCAATTTCGAAAAAAAAAAAAAAAAAAAAAAAAAAAAAAAGAATTTTTCTAGCTTAGTACGGCAGTCACTTAATTACACTTGGGATCTTCCAAAATTATCTGTAAAGCTTGTTCATTTTATCACCGGGGTTCCTTTCAAACACTTTCGCATCATTAATAATTTTTCTTGTTTACTTAATGATATTAATTTTCCAATCTCGCTCTTCCAAATGCTTTCAAATTTCTAATACTTTTACGTTTGATTACTATTTTACTAAATACATCATGTTACATTCTTTCCCTTACAAAATCGTTTCGCTCCTCCCACTAATAAAATTTCCTTTCCCTGTCATGAAAAATCTGAATAATGGAATAAAAAGTATTGTTATTCTTGAATTATACTTTTTATCGAAACATATTGTCTTGAGTGGTTAGTTTCGAAACATATATTATTTTGTTATTAGGAACAATTACAAAAAAGTGAGTTTTTAAGACAATCAAAGATATAAATAATTAACCTCTATAATGGGACTTTGTCCTTTGAATGCCCTAATTAAAACTCGGACTTGCCACACCACGTTGTGCGAACTGTAAACAATTTCATACCTCGAACTTTAGGGGGTGCGAGATGTTCCCTAAAAAGAAAAAGGTAAGCCAAAAGTCTATACTAGTAGAGTTATAGAAAATAAATCATTTGCACAATTCCTGTCAACTGGTTTGTATCCAGATACGATCAAGGAAGCAAAAACTGGTTTCACACACCTTGTCGAGCTTGTATCGGTCTTAAAGAGCTCCGCCTTTCTTTTAACATAGCAAATAAGACAAAATGTACCTACTCATAATGACAAAACTACTATAAATCAAGATCTTAATGGATAGGTACACCACACAAGGAGATCCCATAAAATTAGCATTTTGGAATGCTCATGCCATTCAGAACCAAATTGACGGATTTTTTTAAACTTCCTTAACAATCACAATATTGACATTGCTCTTGTCACAGAGACTTTTGCCACGCCATGCGTGCGTATAAATTTTCCTAATTACCGCACATATAGGTGTGATCGTTTGAGTCACCGAAGAGGGGGGCGCAATTTATGTGCGCAACTCGCTCCAGTCTTGTTTGATAAGCGAAGAGAGAAACGACGAACATGAGATGGTCACATTCTGAGTGCACTTACCGCAATATGGTAATTTGAATTTCATTTCATTTTATAATCCACCCAGAAAGCTACTGGAGGAAAGTATTCTTTCCAAAGTTCTCTCTGACACCAATAAGTTTATCCTAACGGGTGAACTTAACCAACACCTCCTAGAACTAGGACTTAACCAACACCTCCTAGAACTAACTCAAAGCCACGGCGCGCAGTTCGTGACGTCACTGCAGTAGGGATACTTTCGTCCTCGCCAACTTTAAGGGTACCTTCTTAAATATCCATTTGACAGGCTTATATAAAAACTGAAATTTTTATATTTAATTCTCATCGTTTATAAATCTGGAAAATACCTTGCTTTCATTAGAATGTGAAGAACCGAGATTTTTATTTTTATAATGTTTTCAATACGAATAACTAGAATTTTTAATTCCATTAAAAGTTATTACTGATGTTACTAAATTTAATCGCTGAGAAACTCTTGTTAACGAAAGAAACTTCACACTTAATGAATCGGAATTTTATTTGTACGCAATAATTAAACAGAAAGACAATTTAAGACATGAAGGCAGGATATAGATCCTAAAAAATTGAGATAAATTCTAACTGATTTAAATTATGAAGCTAATTTACCTGGAATCATGTAGCAACATAAAATCATTAGTTGAAAACAAATATAATTAATCAGAGATGTTTATTGGTCAAGGGTCGTATTAATTATACTTACAACAATTTATGCCTTGACTAATAAACATCTTTGATAAGTATAAGTAATATATCTTATTTTTGACATATGTTGCCGAATAATAATAAATACTCATGTTTGAAACAAATAACGCTAAGCTTGCAACGATTTAAATAAGTTTTTATAATTATTTGAGACATTAGGTGCACAGAGAGAATTGCATATTATTTTATTTTGCATTTTAAATGGCAAATATCAAATCTCTGATAGAGGTCTGATATAGATTTAAATAGCTAACCTCTGATCTTTACAGGGAAATTTTAAACATGGTTTAGCAGTATTGTGTGGAAGGCAAATGTAACAAATCCTAAACTGGGATATTGAAACAAACAAATGAAAAACACAACTATCATTGCATTATTACTGCCGAATAAAATTACTAACATATAATGCCCTTAGGATGCACTAAATTATACATTACAATTCGAAACAATTTATACAGAAATACTTTAGATAACATGTATATGCTTATTTTCAATCAGTCAACTAAAAAGAGGAAGGATTGTTCCAATAGAGGAAAAATAAATTGTCTTTGCAGTCAATTCAGAATTATTCAAAACTGTCTGTAAACGGGGAACGATAAATATTGCTTTTTTTTTTTTTTTTTTTTTTTTTTTTTATCACAGACTGCATTTCATCAAATAAAAATGTATGGCATAATATTTCATAAAGACTACATTTCTATCTTTAGAAAGAATTTAAATTGTAGTCTTTATGAAATATCATGCCATACATTTTTATTTCCATACGTATGTATATGCATGCGTATATATGTATGACAATATATTCGATTTCTTTGAAAAAAAAAAAAAAATTGCTTCGACATACTGCTATACAAAATATACAATTTAAAATAATATATTTGGGGTGAAGAAAGAGAATTTTAGGATTTTTAACATATATATATATATATATGAAGTAATTAAATTTAAAAATCAAAAACACAATAAAAAAATTTCATGAACTTTAACATATACACATATAAAAGTTGCATTGATATTGCACTATACAAGTAAATGAAGAGGGAATACATAATGAATACCTTTGACAAAAAATAAATGAAACTCAGAATTTCGTAAATTTTAATGCGTGCAAATATATAGAAATGCATACATTCCCTGTAGCAGGTAAAAATTCATATTTTGGTTTGAATAGTTTGTATTTTGCGCCTTTTAACTACAGGCTTAGGCAAATCATTCATTTTTTTGCAATAATTATTCAATAAAGAATTTGTTGCTGCCATTACTAAATATTTTATTATAATATATCAGCTGAATGACCGATTTCACATGCATCCATAAATACATCACAGTCTTTCAAATTTTGTAAAGTTGATTTGACTGTTATTTGTCTCTGAATTTTGCTTTTTAAAAATTTTTGTTCATTGTTCACTGATAGAAGTTTTTGAACTGTTACGTAATTATACATAATTACAGTAACAACATCCGCTCGAGGCATAACAAACCTCCTCGGCTCATATTTTTAATTAAGGAATAATTTTGATTATTTTCCAATACTTTATCTGTAACTAAAAGTTTAAAACAGGAATTGCATTTAAGTTTTTTCAGAGCAGCTCTTAGCACAATAACCTGACAGGTATGTTAATACTGGTAAAAAAGTTTCAGCATCTTCAAAATCCTTTTCTGTAATACTTATGTCAAATTCTGTAAACTCTTCTTCAATTTCATCCACTTCGATTCTGTTGTCAGTGCTGCTAATTTTTATTTTTCCATATGTGCTCGAATTGAGAGTAAGGGGTAAAAAGTTCTGGAGACGTAATTTTGTTTCTGCTTCATAGACTTGTCTTACAGATACTAAATATTGTGATCCGGCTAAAGACCTGTATTTCCCAAATCTGGCTTCCAGGGTATCAGTTTGAATTTTTCCTGGAAGAAAGTACTTAAATTTCAGCTCATGAAGGCAATATTTTGACATCTCCATTATACCATGAGTTGTATGACTGATAGCCAATAGTGTATCCTTTGTAAGAGTGCCTGTTGAAGAATTTTCTTTCCAGTAATCGAGCCAAAGGAGAAATTTTTCTAGAAACTCGGAATTTATATGACACTTATCAGAAATAGGTCTCTGAAATTCATCTCGGAAACGATCTCCTTTGAAAGGCGTTTTCACGTTCATGATGCACCACCATTTGTATATAATGTCAATAAAATTCGCTGTGGATTTATAATTTTTTAGTTGGTGTTCATTGCCTAATTTCAAAAGTGCTTGAATCACATATGGATTAAATATATCCAATACAAGTTTAACATTCTGTCTTTCAAAATTTGATGGACACAATGCTTTCAAATTCAATCCATAAGCATATTTGACTAAATTTATGCTTTCTATGCTATGAAGTTGTCTTAAAGTAGAAAAGGATGCCATTAAGAAATTTGAATTTAAAGTTTCGAAATCTGGATAATAAAATGTCTGATCTGCACTTTTTTGATTGAGCCAATTGTTCCGTATGCATTTAAATATATGAACAGAATCAATAATAAAGAATAGTGGCCGAGTGGCATCCGATGGATGTGGATACACTATGCTTAATTTTGGAGGAGATGTAAAAAAAGACATAGTTTTCCTATTAATGGCATTATTGTCACTGACAACACAGATAACTGAGAAACCAAGTTTTTCTAAACTTAAGATTGCTCTACGCACGAAATTAAAAAGAATTTCAGCAGTTATATTTTTTACAGGAATTATCTGAATGACTTCTTTAAAATTAGACAGCAGACTCTGAATCATGAAAACATGTGCAGTTGTAGCTATGTTTTCAGAATTGTAAGCCATGCCTACAATGTTGCCAGCTTTATAGTCGACATATGGTTTTATGTGAATTTCATCGATCATCATTGTAACTCTGCGATCGCATTCTTGAAGTACAGGACTTTTTTTGTTTTAAGTGTTTTAAAAAGTCCTCTTCGCATTGTTCATTCTGAGGATTAGCTACCAAAGATGAGCATAACCTTTGAATTGTCCGAGGGTGAGGAGCCAAAATACACCCAGAACTCCTTAAAAATTTATAAGCATGGGGTGAAATTGTACATAAAATACTGAATAGTATCATACTCTCTGGAGAATACCGTAAGTTTTCTTTGGATGTATTAATTAATGTTAATTGCTCCCTAATGAATTGTATGGCTTTCTGCTTATTTTCATCGTATTGTTCTTCAATATTTTCTAAAGTTTCACAAACAGAATTTATTCTTAAATTCTGCACATCACTTTTAAATTCATACGACAACAAAGCGTTTAAAATAGAAATTACCTCATCTACATTGCCAACAGATGCTGGCAAAGTTAAATTATTAAATTTTTTAAGTTCAGTTTTCCCAATGTAAACTGAAAGTTCAAGTTTTTCGTTTATTAATGCTGAAATATTTATTTCAGGGCACTGTGTTAGCTCAATAATTAAAAAGATAGCTTCCTGTGCTCTTTTAATACAGTTCCACGAGCCAGGTAGCTTTTCTTTTCCCATCTTATCTAAAAATTCAGAAAATGAAGAAAAGGATTTTTCTTTTTCATTCGTCTGAAACTGGGATATACTTTCAGTTACAGCCCACTGAAGATTTTTATTTTCTAGCCTTTGACGACGTTCATCTGGGCTTTCTCTCACGATAAATTCCCTTGAATATATTTTGGGCAGTTTGGGAAAATACTAGGAATCGCAAAACGTTTTAATTTGTACCTCGATAAGGGAGCAGTCACCTTCCTTCCAGTCCTTTCATCAACGAATTCTGTACATTTTGAAATGTCCTCAGGGGGTGAAAATGAAGGGCACAAACCTATCAGCAAGAATTTTTATACATTAAGTTTTTCGGCTTTAAACTGAGTATACATTATTAAATTTCATTAAAATTTGTAGCATAAAATAATACAGGTTAGGTTAGGTTATTTTAATTATGGCAAAGCCTCGAGGGCTATCTGCCTAAGGGGAGGGATGCCTTCGTGGAGGACTTTCTAAGGGAAACTGGCTCGTATATACGTTACACATGGGGAAAACCCCGAAAACACCCATGCAGCCAGCCCGTTGGCGGGATTCGAACCTCGGACCGAACTACCAGTGTTCAGCGACTTAACCGCTCGGCCGCTGGTTGGCCACTAAAAGTAATATAAGTTAATGTTTATTCACGACTAATAGAAAGAAAATCATACTTGTCTATTAATTGTATAAAGTGAAACACAGTACTAGTTTTGAAGAATAATGTCTAATTAGATAGAAAAATCTTTTGTCAAAATAAAGTGTTGCATAAATTTAATTATTTACTTACAAAAAATACGAAACACTTGCATGCAAAGATTGTTATAATCGGATTTAATTATCTAAACTAGAATTAAATACAAGATTTTGTAAAACTTCATATTTAATGATTTATGTTATATTAAGTGAATTTTAAGAATATCAGGCATGAACTCACAAAAATTTAAATAGCGTATTTTTTCGCATTAACATCAGAAACAAAATTGGTATTAGTTACAGAGATATTATCAAGATTTTTCAAGGTCTTCGGATTTTAATAAATACGCTGTTCCTGTGACAAATGTATCGAGATATTTAAATGCGAGCATTTTGCAACATACAAAATGTATTTACAATTTTGAATTTTTATTAATCCTACATTTAATCTAATCCTACTTTTAAGTCACACATTTGTTTAATTTACTTAACTTGGTAAATGATGCTATTTACTACAAATTGACTAGCATGACGATAAAGAATGCCATCTGCTAGAGATTGAACGATTAGCATGATGATAAACAGTACTATCTGCTATAAATTAAATTAATAGTATGATTAAGTCATCATACTTATATAATCACTATTAGACTTACAATAAGATTAAATATGTTTACTTTCTATAAATGTATGTACTCGCTTTAGTTTATGATAATTATAACATACTTAACACAGAAGCACTTTTTAAAGCACAGATAAGTATAAACTTATTCATTAAAAAAAAAAAAAAAAAAAAAAAAAAAAAACGCAACTTACCTTCGAAAATTTTGTTGGCTTGAAATTGCTTCTATGAATCGCCTTTATCCATTTATTTAAGAATTCTTTCTCTTTCGGAAAAGAGAAAACCTGTACTTTTTGGACCATTTGGATAGTTCCCTTTACAGTTAGGTACACAGCATGTGTAAACCATATCAAAAATTTGAAAAACAAATAATAAAGTGGAATACTTATAATATAGAAATATCTGAAAAAAGAAAGAAAATGTCGACTGTTCTTATGGACGATTTCTGACCAAGTGACCGTCAAAACTCCGGAAATCCACCCACCACAGTCCTGGGTGGGGAGAGTTAAATGAAATACAATCCCTACTGACACTGACGTCACACCTCCTCCTGGGAAACGCGCCGTGGCCTTGAGTTAGTTCTAGGAGGTGTTGACTTAACGCAAAGCACTCCGATTGGTTATGCCGTAAAACTAACCAAAATGGTAAGATGCTGTATGAATTTATAAACAATCACCCAGTTGCCCTGCCTGTTACTGAGGAGTATACGTATAGACCACAGAACCCAAGAAATGCAGACCTTCTTGATATTCTTCTGACAAATACTTCAATCCCTATTTATACTGAAGTAAAGCACGAATTGAGCTCTGACCATATACCGGTCATTGCTTACCTAGGCACTACTAAAGAGGCAGAAAATGAAATGATCCGCACGACTGACTGGAATAAGTTCCAGAAGTTTCTCAGTCAGAATCCGCCCATCTTTGATACTCTGAACTCGCGGAAAGATATAGATGATGCAGTTGATACCCTCACTGATTCAATCAATAATGCTATTGAAAATGCATCTAGACACGTGAGAAGAAATAATAACACTGGCATTCTGCCACAGGAAATTAGAGAGATTATTAAGGATCGGAATAGGATGAGGAAAGCGAGGCACCTTACATGGAACTCTCACGTTAAAAGAGATATGAACAAATTAAATAAATTAATTTAAAAAAAATAGATGAGCATAAGAGAGATGTATGGGAGGAAGAAATTCAGAATCGTAGTCCGAATGATGGCACTTTCTGGACGTTCATGCGAAACTTGAAAAGGCAGCGTACATGCAATAAGCCGATTTATACTGAAAACTCTGTTACTCTCAATAATAAAGGCAAATCGACGGTCCTTGCGGACCATTTAGAAGAGCAGTTCAGACCTAACATGACGCCCATGGACATTAATTTTGTCAATGAGGCATGCTACTTTGTTAGGGATTGGCTTAATGCCCACACTGCTAAGAGGTACATGGCCACTGCTACCCCAGTGAGATCAAAGAAATCACAAAGAAGCTTAAAGTAAAAAAGGCCCCTGGCATAGACGGTATTAATAATCACGCACTTAGAAATTTGCCCTGCAATGTTGTGACAAAATTCACGAGTATTATCAATGCGTGTCTTAGTCAATGCTATTTTCCCACAAAAATGGAAAATCGCAAAAGTTATTTTATTGCCTAAGCCCGGCAAGGATAACACTAAGCCCGATGGGTACAGGCCTATTAGCTTGCTTCCGGGACTAGGAAAGGTTTTGAGAGATTAATCTACAGCAGATTGAAAAACTATATTGAATTACTGCCTCCGGAACAATTTGGTTTCCGGAGAAAGCTTTCAACAACGAAGCAGCTGGTTCGGCTCGTCGAGTTTTGTGGGGATGCGCTTCACAAGGAAACAAATGTCGCCTTACTCATGCTAGACGTGGCGAAGGCATTGGACCGCGTCTGGCATGAGGGGCTTATTTATAAACTTATAAATCTCCCTATGGATAGAGAGCTGATTCAGATAATTATGTCATTAATCACTAATAGGAAATTCACTGTGGCTATTGGAAAGGACATCTCCAGTTTACGCACCATGAATGCAGGCGTCCCACAGGGGTCCATTTTAGGGCCCGTCCTGTATTTATTTTATGTTCATGACTTTTCCTAGGGCTCACATTGGCAGAAATTACTTTCTTGGGTGCTATGCGGACGATACGGCATTAGCCGTAAAGTCCGCAAACGCACACCATGCAATCAAGAAATTACAGGAGCTTCTACCAGTGGTAGAAAAGTGGTGTAGACTTGGAGAATTGCTATTAATGCCAGCAAGTCGCAATTATTATTGATAAGGAGGAAAAATACACAGTTGACTATTAATAGCAAGCTCTTCTTATTCTATGAAGAGATTCCTAGAGTCAGTAAGGCGAAATATTTAGGAGTAATGCTAAATGAAAGATTAAAATGGGGAGATCATATTACAGAGGTCAGAGAAGAAAAGTTTTCACTGCTGTAAATAGTCTCACCGCTATATTGTGTAATTATTCTAGCTTAGACCTCAGGAAAAAGATGCTAGTATATATCACGGCAATTATGCCATTGATGACTGATGCGTCGCCGGCCTGGTACACGGCTACCAAGGAGGATATAAAAAGACTTCAAATCATGCAAAACCAAATTTTAAAGCTCAGTTTTTTTTGTGAGTAATGCTATACTGCACTGTGACTTAAAACTGGACACTCTAGAAGAGCAACTGCAGAAGATTAACAGGAAATTCTTCGAGAAAGCTCTGAACTCTGACCATATGAGTAATTTTGATATCTTTACCTACGAAATATTGAATGAGGACTCCAAACTGCGCCCATTTGCGGCCCACCTTATCAGGGACCCAAACTTTCCCCACCTAGTGCCCACTTGTAAATAATGTACATAGTGTGTTAATTAGCATTCTTAATTTTGTATTTTACTCATTTATTGTACTGTGTATTTCTTAAATTCTCTAGTTTTATTCACATTCTACACTCATTTTATGACTCCCACTTAGTCACGCCTTTACCGGGCCGGTTACTTGCTTGTGAGCTCTTGCGTTGCTGGTCTTCCTATTCTTTATCCGTCTTTCTCCTCCTTACTGCGGACATTATGTGAAGACTAATTTGTCAATCGAAAGTTTATTTCGATAACTCGGGTCACTTTCTTCACTTCGAAGCGAATATAATGACGAGGAACTTGATTTAACATATCAAAGGAGTACTCGAGATGAAATACTACACTAGTAAGGAATTATAAGCCAAATAAATAAAACATCTGCTCTGAGATAAGGATAGTGCTGACAGATCAACTTCCAATCCGCGGCGTGAAATTGATAAACAGATTTCGGATTTCAAAACATACTTTCGCTTTGTAGATACAAATTACATATTAGTATATATATATCGGAAATTCTAATTTACATAATCGAAAGTTCAAGCTTACTTTTATGAAATTGCTCTAACAGTCTGCAAAAAATAATAAGCCGGATCCAATTCGAAGATTAAGGAACAACGCAATCTGCAACATTAACTGAATTAGATAATTTTAGCGTACCTCCGTTATACATTAAACGCGCATGCGCACAAACATATTCGCAGCCGTAAAGGTCTTACGCGCACTCGTAAACGCCTGTGCGCATGCGCAGAAAGTTTGTAGCTTTGAGGTCCGGATTATGGGTGTCCGAATTAACGA